CCATGCTGGCTACATGCTAGAGAAAAATGTAGAGAGTTTCTTCCTTTGAAATAGGCTTTTAGGTGAGTGGAGCTTGATGCTCCATGTCCTTGGGTAGGATATGCACAGGTTATAATGCTCCTTGCTTTATGTGCTGGAAGGACATAAATTCTGAGGTTGAAAATCTGTTGTCATCAAAACTGATGGCGCAAATGACTGGAGAAATGATGGCTAGAAAAGCAGGGTGTGAAATGATTTGTTGGAGGTAGGGGGATGACATGCACACAGCTGCAGTCTCCAGGTTTGACAGGCCTTATCCCTGCCTGTCCTGGTGTCATAGAGCTTTTTCCTATTGTAGACAAGGGCATTTCCCTTTCACTTCTTTCAGGTTACTGGTGTGAATCCTTGACACCAGTAAAGGCTGCCAAGCAGTACATTTGGATGAGAATCACTGAGCATAATTTGGTTTAAAAATGGTCATGAAGAATTCTTCATATCAGTTCAGCTAGATTATAAATATTAGAAATGAAATTAGTCACTTGTCTGTGAGGAAAGCCTGGCATTTGTTTTGACTCATGGAACTGTTGACTGAAATCAGAAGACCCTGGGGAATATCTCAGAAACATCTTGCTTAGTAAGTCTTGCTATTTCTGACAAAATATACACATTTGTATGTGAAAACTCATTCCAAACCCCCTATAAAGCAGAGAAAGACTGGCCTCTTCTTAATTTCTGGTGGTTTTCTCCAGAGTAAAACTGCCAGGATTTCACTTTAGGAGTGAAAGAGCAGATTTAAAAAAACTAAGACATTGAAAATAAGTTACTGGTGTTTAAATTTAAAAAAAAATTACTTTTTTCCATCTTACCTGTTTCCATTTTTTTCTTTCTCTGCATGTATCTTCCACAAAAGACTTTTCTAAGCTAGGAAAATCAACAGTTTTATGACACAGTAGCAAAGCTGACATAGTTCTGCTCAAGTTCTTAGAGAGAAATCCAGAAACAAGGGAGTGGGATTTTTTCCTTCTCTCTTCTCACCCCTATCCCTCTTGCCAGTCTCCTTGTGAACTCCCTCCCACCTGCCTAAAGTCTGTGAGGGTGCTGTAATTCATCATTATTGTGCCTGTACTCTTGTGAGGCAGCCAGGAGTTCAGGGAGGAAGAAGGATTTACACAGGGTGAGGTCAGGTATGCTCTGTGTTTCAGCAGATGATTGATTTCTGTGCAAATGATGCACAGGACAAAAAAAATGTTGTGTTCTCTGTGTTATTCAGACCTTGGTGTCTTCACTAAAGGTATTGTCCAAGGAAAGGGGAAGAAAAAGCAAAATTTTTTTCTTAAAGCTCAGTCAAGCTGTAATCTGAAGAACTATTTTATTATTACAATTACACATAGGTGTTAAACGTCTGTCCTAATGGCTGCTTCTAATTGTGATTTCAGGCAGAAGCTTTGCCCTATGGGAGATTCACTATAGATCAGAGCAAGCATTTAGCAGTTTAAGGAATCAGAGTCTCGCCAGTTGAGACTCCAGGTGATGCTTAAGTCTTGGCTTTGGTGCTGTCTGCTGCAAATTCAGTGGAGACTTTTAGATCCAGGAAATAATGAATTACAAGTTCTGTCTGCAACACAATAAAAATACACCCTTATCATGCAGAAGAGACCTGGCTTGTAGTTATTAATTTCACATTGATATTGCTCAGTGCCTTAATATGACTTGACTGATGTGATTCTAGCTGCTGTTCAGTGATATTGTGTGCTGGAGTGGTTCAGCACTGCCATTCCATGATAAAAATGAAATACCTATTGAAAATCTAGTTGATTGCATCTCAGAGACAATTTTGAAAGCTATCTGTTGACTTTCTTTTCTGTTGCCTTCTCTTTTGTAAATTTGATCTTACTTTGCAGAACTCTTGGTTTTAGGAATGACTTCAAATTTTTACTGTGGAAGATGTACTGTTTTAAAGTCAGTCATGGTTCTGCTGTCTATCTGAAGTTTTCCTAGAGAATACAATTGCTTCCCAAGCGTTCATTTGTGAACCAAGTCAAGCTTTAACAGCAGTACTGGTAGAAATTAAGCAGACCCCAGAGCTAGGTCCTGTCCTGTATTACTTTGGTGCCAATGGGAAAGTTAGCTTGCTAACCACAGGAAGTCTGAAGGAGCACCAGTAAAGAGGGAAGGGTGGTCATCAGCTGCACAGGGAACCCTTTGCATGGAGATTTGATACTATTGCAAGTTTAACTCTTGCTGCACCAAGCAGTGTTCAAGTTGAGATGGTTGTCACTCTGTGTGAGAAGTGTCTGCAGTTCAGTAGAGGCATATGTGCACTTCTTGCACTCTGGTTCAATAAAGGCACAGACAATTGATGTCTTTAATTGTGAGGAGTCCTGCTAGAAGTTATGCTTAAGGTTATCCCTGCTATGGGGGGAGGGGAGGAATCTTTTCAAGTTTCATCTTGAAAAGCATGAGAGATAAGTCCAGCACAACTCTTACCACCAACCCTCTGTTTTCTCAAAGCAGCCATACTTGTTGCAGATGTAATTCCAATGATATGCCAGGAGGATTTGGCCCTTCAATTTAATGTCTCATGTGTCTGTGAGTAATTAAAAATAGCAAGTAATGTAAAGTGATGGAGTAGACATTTAAAGTGGTTTATTAAAGTTGCAATGGTCTCCATGTTGTCCCGTGTTGATAGCATGCTAACATCTCTTGCAATGTTTAATGCTTTTTAAAAAAACTACAGGTGTTTGAAGTTAGGTATCTGTATTACATTTCCACCTTCTGGTGACAGAGCAGGGCCGTTTCAAACTTCTGTAGTTGTAGGGAAAATGTGTCCAAAATGTTTCTTCTTCTTCTGTGACTCAAGTTTTTTTAAACAGTAACATGAGCTTTCAAGGCAGGTGTGGCGCTGACTTTTGGCTTGTTAAGTGCCTGGAGGTGGCAATAAAAGGGTTAGTGATACATCAGCCATCTGTCTCAAAGCAGGGGCTGCTCCCTTGCAGAGCGAGAGGCTGCCTAGTGAGAGAGACATCTGTCATGTCACCAGCATTTTGCCTGGCTGTGGTGCATCCCCACACCCATCCATGCATCTTCCTCCCCACCTCAGCACACAGAAAATACTGTTGTGTTTGCAAGTCTTGAGAAAAACTTCACCTTTTCAGCCAGCAAGTTTGGGTGGGGTAAAAGGACTAAAGGTAGTTTTAGTGTTAAAAACAAAAAAAAAAAAAAAAAAAAAAAAAAAGAGCTGTGTCTGCTTGTGGCAAGCATCAGCCTTGAGTTACACAAGGTGAAAAGTGAAAGCTTTTGCTTGTGATTTCTCTGTGTACATCTGTGTCCATTCCCTGCCTTTCCCATCAGGCATCATCAGCCACCTGCCCCCAAAGAGGAGGCATGGACATGCAAAGGGCAGCTTTGCCAGGCTGGTTCCCTGACACTTGGATGCCATACAGGGGGCACATCCAGGAAACCTTGTTGGCAATACCAGCCATGGCAGTATGGATGCCCTCACTGAAAGCATTCATGCTGCGTGTTCACTGAAATATGGAGATTTTACTCGCCATGGAAAAATCCACTGAAGCATGTTGTTGAGGGAGATGGGTTTGTTTGCATCTTTCACAGAGAAGTTTTCTCCCTCTGGTGTCACCACTAGCACACAGTGTTTTGTTTCATGAATAAAGGCACTGATGGAAAAGGTTATACTGGATAGTGAAAATGAGCTTTTGAGTCTGTGCTTTCCTGAAGTTACCTTTTATAAGAAGTTAAAATTTGGGGTGTAATTTATTTGTTAAGTTGAATTTATTTATCAAGTAAAAATTTGGGGGAGTAATTCGTTTGCTAAGTTGAACAAGAGGCTTGATTAAAGCCAGTTAATAAATACCAAGACGATCCTCTGATTGACAGTTTCCCAGGGCTTGATCTTGCTGTCACTTTTGTTGGCTGAAGAACTTCAGATCTTTATGTGAACTGTTGGCTGTATCTGTGAAATCCCACCTCCTGAACGTGCAAAATACTGAACACTGTGCTCCAGCTCTGCAAATGGCTGCAGAGGAGGGTCAGCTGATGGGTTAAAGTGGATGATGATAACTCATGCTGATGAATTAAATGGTGTGTTTACATGTGGTGGCATTTCCGTATGGGGGTTGCCTGTGTTTTGCCAGGCAGCAATTAGTGCTGTCTTGAGCAGCTTTGCATGGCTCTGTCTGGGTTACCTCAAACCATGGTGAAAATACCCAGGTGACTTGGGGGTTCTCAGATGGGCTGAGAGCATTCCTGAGGCTCCCAATGGCAGAACCATACTGATCTGTATTCACAGGATTGCATAACTGAGTGGCTGGGGAGTTATCTGTTTTCTGAATGGAAAACAATGCTGAAAGAGCTACAGGCAAGCTAAGGGGAACTTACTTGAGATGAGCAGGGAGGATCTGTTTACACAAGAGAATATTTCTACTGTTCAGAATAGCAATAAATAGAAACTCTTTTAAATACAGCTTATTTAAGATTTGAGGTATCACTGGCAAACTTTGCTCCCGTTCCATGGCAGATAATTGTCAATACACTAAGAATTTAATATTTTCTGTCCTTCTAGTTTCATTTTTATTACATCCATATGGCTTGTATTCGAGTATCTTCAACATTTGGAATCCTCTACAGGGACTTTAAATTCAATTGCTAAAGAAGCAAAATAATCAAGCTTATAGCTGTTGACCTGTTAACTGCCTGCTCTTCTTGCTGTTGTTTCCACCTGCACAGCAATAGCCTACAAATACACATGAAATGGAAAGAGACAGTTGACGAGATTAAATGGCTGTAAATGTCCTGTCTATGGAAATGATATTCTGTAATTACCCCATGATTTCCATTCTGTAGATATTTTTATATGCTCAGGACTGCTAATATCCTTTAAGACATTGTGTAGCCAGTTATTAGGCTTTGTGCATTTCAGATTCATACAATTTGCCCTTCTTTATTTCCCCTGACATCGCTAACCATTGCTATTAAAATTGTTGTTTTGAACCTTCTCATTTCAGATGCCAGACCAGTTTGATCAGACAGTGGTGCTTAACCAGCTGCGCTATTCTGGGATGTTGGAGACGGTCAGGATTCGGAGGGCTGGTTTCCCAGTCCGGAGGCCCTTTCAAGACTTTTATAAAAGGTAAACACACTGATTTGTGGACTTGAAGTGTATGTCAATATTCCCATGTTGAGGAATAAAAGTAAAAAGAATCATATGGCAAAAATAGAACTTAATCTCTTAAATGAAGCAATGAATACTTTTTGGTTGCCAGGTATAAAGTCCTCATGAGAAACTTAACCCTCCCTGAAGATTTAAATGAGAAATGTGCCGTCTTGCTTCGTCTGTATGACAACACAAGCACTGAATGGCAGCTTGGAAAAAATAAGGTAAAATAACCTGACTGTGCATATTGTGGTGCTGGTGCATATACAAAGCTGAGGGAACAGGATTTAGACTGCACAGCTGCAGAGATGTAGTTCTAAGGGTAATTATTTCTGGCCTTTAAAGAAGCTGCGCATGCCTTTTGGTGCTCTTGAAACTCTTAAAGCAGCAATTAATGGTTGTGCTGAGGAATTTGCTGTCTTAGGCACTTAGAAACTGACTGGTGATTTCAGTCACAGAGAAAGAGTCCACCTGAATTTTCTGTCACTGCTTACAAGTGGTACACTGGTGATGATCAGAACTTAAAATGTGGTATTTGGATTTTTTCATTTTTCAGAAGTATGGAACATGTGGGGAAACACTTTTGTTCTGCAGGGAGCTCCACTCATACTAGTAAACTGACCTAACCAATACCTCTTCAGTGGCAGAAATCAGGGGGAAGGATTTTAGCCAGTGCACACATGGCAGAATTGAGCTCCAAGTGTGTTTGCCATCTTAGTCTGAGAGTCTTTTCCAGAGGTACATTAGACCTTGATATGTGTTCTACCACAGAACCTGACCTTCACCCACATTTTTTCCCTAAAAGAAAAAAAAATCAATTTTAGAATAAATTAAAGAATAGAATTTTAACTTGAGAAATAAAACAATCCAGGTCTTTTTATGTGTTCATTTTGCAAATTTGATTGTAGACAACAGCTTGTGATTTGTGCTCTTAGATTTCAGCAAATGATATGAAAGCATTGCAGACTTGGGAGAACATTCCCCATTTTAGGATTTGAGATCTTCTAAATATTAAAAACTTTTTTAAAATGCTTTTTAGTGCTGTAAGGTAGCAAATACATTTTGTAAAATCTGATTTCTGTAGGAAATGTTCTTCTTCTCCCCACAACTGGGTGGTTTGGAAGGGTTTCTTCTCTTCCTCTATGCTTAAGGACTCTTAGACTTGCATTGGGAAAGTTGTTTCAATCATCTTATATCTTACATTTCTTATCTATAATAGTCTGATGGCAATTGATGTCATCTTCCATCCCATTTTTGTAGCCAGTGGCTCACAAATAGCACAGTGGTAGCATTGGGCTGCAGAGCTGGGCTGTGCATCCCATTCTATTTCAGATGTAGAATATTAACAGTATTCATGCATGGACCCTGCAGAGTGCTCTGGCATCTTAGGGACACATGTTATCAGAAGTAGTTTTTAATCAGCTGCTCATCAGGACCTCAGCAGGAGCCAGAGCTCTGTTGTAACTTCCCTTACTGTGGCCGGGGCTCATCCTCCCCCAGGAGCTGCCTGTGCGCTTGTGAGACTGCATAAACAGGAGAAGAGCTCAAGAGAACACTGCTTTCAGGCTGAACATGGGTTGAGGCACTGTCCTGCCCCTGTATTAATTTAGAGGGATAATAATGACATTGCAATCATTTGGCTTCAGTGTGATTTTTTTCCTTGTCTTTTATATCTCAAGCTGCAATGCACCTGGTCAGGAAAAGGCATTAGTCTCAGCTTAACATCTGCTTACCATCCATTTATTGTTCCAGAAGTAGCTAAATGCTTTTCTGAAGAATTTAGTTGTGTTTTTGAAAGCCTGTGGGTAAAGCAAAGAAAGATTGCCCACTGAGTGAAAGAAAAGGCTTTTTGCATGACGGAAAACTTCATCTAGAAAGAGCTGCCCAGTGCAGCTCTGACATTGGGACTTTGAGACTTTCTGTGAGGCTGTTTCTGTTCCTGTTTCTCGGGTAACTTGTACTAGAAAGTCCCTTTCTAGCTTTGTTCAAAACTCACAACTGTTCCTCTCCTCGAGAGTGCTGCTGTGGCTTTGATGATGGGCTTTTTTCCCATGTAAACACAGAGGAAAAACCAGCTTCTTTTGCATGTGAACACCCCCAAAAGTCAAAACCAAACCCAACCCACCCCACTGGGTTTGGTTTCTGGTTTTTGGGTTTTTTTTGTTTTTTTTTTTGGTGGGGGGGCAGGGAATGTGAGATTATTTTGTTGGGTTTTGGGGTTTTTTTCACATCAAGAGAAAACACCCAGCACTTCAAAGATGCGTTACTGCTTTTAGATGTCTTTGCAGCCCTCCTCCCTTAGCAGAGCCCACCCTGTCCATGAGCTTTCCTCATCCCCACGCTGTGGTGTGCAGCCTGGCTCTCATCCCACATTATCAAAGTGTCACTGAACTGGCTATTTCCAGCTGCCCATGTGCGAGGCAGCAGCATGCCAGGCTGTTGTCACCCATAGCTGACACCAGCATACTTGGCCTTTAAAAAAGAAGAGTTGAGAAGAGCTGGAAAAAGCGCTGACAGCAGATAGCTCACCACTATGTGAGTGTGTGGCAAAGAGCAGATGTCAAGGCAGGTGGAAGAGGGAAGCTGCCTCCTCCATGCCCCTGCTTGACTAGAGAAGCAGTTTTACTCATTTAAGGTAAAACTGGCTATGTTAGCTCAGTTTATGTCAATGCATGTGCTAAAGCTGCCTCTGAGAGGCACTAGGAAGTGCAGGTGAATGATCCAGGTTAGTTGTTGGAAGAGAGCCTGGGAAGCATTCTGTCTGTGAGAGGGTGACCAGCTCTGGTGGGATGTCTGTCAGCTCCTCTCTCCATGTAAAGTCAGGAAAACACAGTCAAGTCCATGTGAGCATGAAGGCTTTCTCATTTCTGCCTACTTCTGCAGTCCTATGGCAGGGTCTTAGGAAACAGCAAGCCTTGTAAGGGGTTGTGGAGCCTGATATGCCTGTGAAAAAAGTAAATTATCAGGGTGGTATTTCTGCCCCTCTGATTAGAAAGTTCATGCTAAGCCCTGCAGCTTCTTTGGCTTGTGTTACTCTGGTGGGAAAGGCTGCTAAAGAATCCAGTAATTACGTTACATTTGGAAAAACCCTGCTCCTAATTAAAAGTTACAATAGAGTAATCTGACCCTTCCCATTGAAATCCAAGGTTAGAGGACCATCTGCAGGTGTTTTCTTTTAAGAGGACTACATTTTGGTTTTCTTTTTTCTGCTGAGGAAATAGTATATTTTTCTCTGAATTCAAAGCTGAGGCTTGCTGCTTAGATTGTTTTGGCTCTCCCTTAACTATGGTGCTCACCAAAATTTGTTAAGTCAGAAGTTTTCTTATGTAGGTGTTCCTCCGGGAGTCCCTAGAACACAAGTTGGAGAAGCAGCGAGAAGCGGAAGTCACCAAGGCAGCCATGATCATCCGAGCACACATCTTAGGTTATGCAGCCCGGTAAGTGACGGCATGAGAATATTAATAGCGAGGATTTCAAATAAATGGATGAGTTGTCAAGAAGTTAAATCCTTCTGACACAATTCTCAACTTTTCCTAGGGGCCAGGCATTCAAGTTCTGTAAGTGGCTTTTGAAAATAGCAGCTGAAAATGCCCATGAATAATGCAAAGTTTGAATTGTTTTAATATAGTGAATAGGACAATACAGAAATTTGGAGGTCAGCCAGTATCCATCTGATTGTATCATGGCATTAGAGCCATGGTAGGAACTCTAGTTGGATGACACCTAGTAGGGCTGCCCCAAGTCACCAGCTGAGATCCTGATTTATCTTTGCTTCTTCATGGTAAGAAAAGAGAAGGAAAATAAAACTAATCCATTTGGTTCTTGGAGAACCAAGACATTATGTTACTGATTAATGTTTGACTTGATTACCTGGCTTCATGCATTATGTGTTAGGTGGAGTTGTTCATCCCGTCTGTTTATTTCTCTGCTTTTTCTATAAGTCAGTTGAGGACAATTTAAGGAAGCTTGTTTGCATAATGAGGTCATTTCTTTTCATGTTCTTATTAGTCCTCTTCTTATATTCTGACCAGTATGTTACTTAAAAACAATATCCCTTTTTAATGCCAGCTATCCTGCTATGCATGGTCTTTCTTTTCAGAGATGTGGGATGGCTGTATATATTCTTTCTCTGCATGTGTGCACACACAGAGAACTGTCCTTTCAGCAGCTCCTTGGCAGGGGCATAAGAACATGTAAGACATGTGCATTTCCTTAATGAAGACACACACAGCCCTGTCAAGAGCTGAGAGAATCTTGCTTCTCAAAGGGAGAAGAATGTGAACAGTGGGGGAGCTATCACAGAGCTAGAACTGTCATGGGCTCACTATTGCAGGTCACCGTGGCAAAATCCCTCACAACTGTTTCATTACAAATTTGCTTCTTTTTTTTCTCCCCCGCAGAAAGTGGTACAGAAAGGTTCTCTACTATGTGGTTGTGATACAGAAGAACTACAGAGCATTCAGCGGTAGGAAGAAGTTCCTGTGCCTGAAGAAAGCAGCCACAGTCCTTCAGAAGCAGCGGCGAGGCCAGCTTGCTCGGCGTCTTTACAGGGAGCGACTGGAGGAGAAGCGGAGACAAGAGGAGGAAAGAAGAAGAGAGGAGGAAGAAAGGTGCAGTCTCTGGCTTACATCACTCTCCTGCCTGTGCTGTACTAGGTGTTAGTCTGAAAGCCTTTATTTCAGGCTATTCTTGAACAAATGATGTTGGAAACTTTTGCTGCTTTTGCTAAAAGACCTATATAGCTGTCATGGTGGTTTCACAGTCACAAACATAATCGTTGTGATCTTATTTTTGGCTATCTTTTCCAGGTGGCAGATGATCTCTGTAAGCTGAGCTATTGCCATAGCAAAGGAATGCCATGAGCTTATGTTGAGCTTGATTGACTGACTTTTTTTCTTCACTCACTTTTAGGGAAAGACAAAGGCAAGAAGCAGAGCGTCTTGCCCAGCAGGTAAATTACACTCTTAATGCTTTCAGCCACCCTGTTTATTTGAGTATCTCAACCCAGCAATTAAAAAAATAAAAGGTACCTGTAGCATTAAAACTAAACTAATTACAGGAGCTGGCAGATAAAGCCAAAGGAAACTCAATATAGTTTGCATGGAGATTTCCTTCACCTGATGTTTCATTTAATTTCCAGCAAAGATTGAATTTTCTGCATATACTAGAACTTTTTTTCCTCAGCTATCTCTGAGTTAATGTATTCATGTTTTAGTTTGTTTCTTTTTCTTTCCTTTTCATTTCTTGCTGATATTAAGATAGGGCTCCTTTTAAATGAATGAGCATGGTGGAGTGTAGAGCTTTAGAAATAAATTTTAAAAAACAAGCTTGCATTTAGGGACCTGACTTGATTTTATTTCTTTTTTCATTTTACTTTTATGCAGGCTGAAGAAGAGAGAAAGAAGCAGGAACAGGAATTGGCTGCCATTCAGAAAGCTCAGAAGGAGGCAGAACTGAAACAGGAGGTGGAGAAGCAGAAAGAAAGCAGGCAGGTGGAAGAAATCCTACGTCTGGAAAAAGAAATTGAAGACCTGCAGCGTGTGAAGAAGCAGCAGGAGCTGTCCTTGACTGAGGCTTCATTACAGAGGCTGCAGCAGCGTCGAGATGAGGAGCTCCGGCGGCTTGAGGACGAAGCATGTCGGGCAGCCCAGGAGTTCCTGGAATCTCTGAACTTTGATGAGATTGACGAATGTGTCCGAAACATTGAGAGGTCTCTCTCTGTGGGCAGTGGGTATCCTGCTGAGCTGGCTGAACAGACTGGAAATGCCTGCAGTGAAAAGCCCAATTTTAACTTCAGCCAGCCATATCCTGAGGAGGAGGTAGATGAGGGCTTTGAAGCCGATGATGATGCATTTAAGGATTCGCCCAACCCGAGTGAGCATGGCCATTCTGATCAAAGGACCAGTGGCATCAGAACAAGCGATGATTCCTCAGAAGAGGATCCTTACATGAATGATACCGTGGTGCCAACAATTCCTGCTGCCAGCGACGCCATGGTCATACCTCCTGCCCACGACACAGTGAGTCTCCACAACTCTTCCAGCGGCGAATCCACGTACTGCATGCCAGAAAACGTATCCTGCAGACCCCCTAATTCTGTGGAACTTATTTCTCCCGACGGAGACTATGATTATGACCAGGACGATTACGAAGATGGTGCTATCACTTCTGGCAGCAGTGTGACCTTCTCTAACTCGCACAGTAGCCAATGGTCACCCGACTACCGGTGTTCCGTGGGGACGTACAACAGCTCTGGAGCATACCGGTTCAGCTCTGAGGGAGCTCAGTCTTCGGTAAGTAGCAATGTTTATATTATCTAATAATTGATAGGTGCTTTCTGGTTTTTTTTTTCCCCCTGCTGTGCAGCTGTAGATTCACTGTAGCTGTTCCTAGAAAACATTGTGTAGCTTGATTTGCTCAGAGCACCTATGGAAATAGGAGTCTGTTGCCATCTAGATGCCACTGGGGTGAGTGCATTAGAGTCAGAGGCTGCTCCGATGCTGTTTGCAGTCCTGGGCTTTTGCACAGATATGGTTTTAACTGCTTTAATGCAGCACTGTGTGTTACTTGGTGAGGAGCTCAGTGCACAGCGAAGTTCTTCTCTGTGCATGTGTTTGGAGCTGGGGTACCAGGTAGCATGTTGGGGAATTAATTTCAGAAAAACTGAATTTAGTTATGTGTGCAAGTTGCAAGAGTATTGAAGAATAAGATGGTTGGAGAAGTCCCTGATGTGCCAGGTATATTTTGAGATTATTTAGAGAGTAAAGTTCACACAATAGAAAATGTTTAAATTACTGAGTCAGACACACATTCTGCAGAGAAATTTTTCAGTGCTGTATACTGAATATACTGTGGGATTTCCTTCTACAAATATTTTTCAAAGAATCTGATTTCCTCTATCACTCACCCAGTGTTTCTGTGAGACTGCCTGATTGGGAAAGGGAAAAGGTATTTCAGGAACACTGACTTGTTTAGAAGGAAAACTTCAATGATATAATATCTGCTACATTTGAGGCAATGATAAGCAGTCCAAGAGCCATTGTGAGTGTTGGGATAAGTTGACAGCTCTTGCCTGAGAAAGAAACACTTTCAGTGTCTCTGTTGAGGATGTCTTCCTGCTGCATGACTCTGGATGTGTGTCAGATACAGAACAGAAATTCTGACTTTCTGGAGTGAGGGAAAGCCAGTACCACAGCTTGTGCAAAGTTTCCTTTTCAATGCATTTTTAAGTTGTTCCCCCCAGCACTTCAGTGATAGGGGCAAGTAGCAGAAGATAGCTTACCTTGATCATACTCTTGCAAAGGGATAACTTTCCTGAGCATCTACAAAGCTTTTACATAGATTTGTTGTGTAATCAAACAGTTCAAGCTGAAACTTACTACAGTGCCTACTCCTTCCTTTGTTAGCTGGATGAAACCAATGAGGAACCTTCCAATACATAATAAAATGTTTTAGCTAGAGTTTTCTAAACCAGCTTGATCTAAACTCTTTCCTGAGAGATTATGACCTTTCTTTCCTTTCTTGTGTAGTTTGAAGACAGTGAAGAAGATTTTGACTCCAGGTTTGATACAGATGATGAACTTTCCTACCGGAGGGATTCAGTCTATAGCTGTGTCAGCCTGCCCTACTTTCACAGTTTTCTGTACATGAAAGGTACTGGATGAATCAGTATTTGCTAAATAGACAAAACAACCAGAAATATTTATTGTGTATTACACTCCCAATTCCTGTAGAGTTAAGCTATTTTCTCATTTTTCAAAGGGTGATGGGAAAGTGACTTTATTTAATTTGAGCTGTTCTCAAGCTAAGCTACTTGCAGTGGCTTATATCTAGCAATGTTTTTCCCCTCTGCAAAAAAAGATCAATGTTTTGGGCTGCCTCTGTTTCATCTTACATCTTTGCTGTCTCACAAACAATGAAATATTAAGTATACATTGAGAAAAATAACTCACAAATCCAATTGTATCAAATTTTCAGGAAAGCTTATTGCTGCTGTCAAAACCTTGTAACATAGACAGCATTCTACATTGCATACCAGTTTTACTGACCTTAGTCAAATTTCACTTTGCATCTGAAAGACATGAAGAAGGTTGCATGTAGCAAAGGGGTGTGAGAGACTGTGAAAGAATATACACAGGAGTTCTCTGCTTAAAATTCTTCGGTTTATCTTCTGATTTTTGATAACAAATTATAATCTAGCTGAATCCTTGTATGATTTCAGCACTGTAGTATACCTTACTTAGGTATAGGAACAGTGATGAGTGTACACACCACAATGTTTGTATGAAAAATAATGCAGTTGGCAGGAGCAGGGCTTTTACTTTCTGACATAGCTAGCAGTCAGTTTTTGTGGGATGACAGGATTTGGTCATCAAACAGGAATGGTTTGATTAAGGTTTTTATGACTGTGCTGTAACTCCAGTGCAAAAGGTGCACTGCCTACTGTATGGCCACACTTTGGTATGACTGAGCTCACACTGGTGTATTTCCTGCTCTAAACATAGCTTTGTCAGGTTTTGTAGTTTTGAGTTAAATGTTGTTATCTCATAATAACCTGGAGAGAGGAAAGAGCTTAACACTAGATTTTTTTTTATTATCACTGAAATACATTGAAAACAGTCTTAAAGATCTGATTCTCATGTGCAGCAAGACTTGTAGGTAAATTATTATTATAGATATGTATATGTACATGTAATTATATGCATGTTTCATTACTACATTACTACAATTTATAATTTAAGGGTGTTTAGATTGACAACAATATTGGTGGCCATAAGGATATGCAAAACTGAGGTTTTGTGGCTTACAGCAGACACTCAGTTTAACTGCAGTGTTGTTGGTCAGCACCTTCCAGTTTTGGTGCTGCTCGCTGTTTATGATACAGCTGTTTGTTTAAACTTTAAAGTGCACATAAACCCACATTTGTCTCTCTTGCCAGGTGGCTTAATCAACACATGGAAGCGACGCTGGTGTGTCCTGAAAGATGAGACCTTCCTGTGGTTTCGTTCTAAGCAGGAAGCACTTAAGCAGGGTTGGCTTCACAAAAAGGGGGGTGGATCATCTACGCTTTCCAGAAGGAATTGGAAGAAAAGATGGTTTGTTCTCAGACAGTCCAGGTTGATGTACTTTGAAAATGACAGTGAAGAAAAGCTAAAGGGTGCCGTGGATGTCCGAACTGCCAAGTAGGTTTACATAGTTTTATGTTAGCCATGGTTCCTTCTAAGTAGTACTTGGGGCTCAGTCTGGGAAGACGTTGAGTGCCCTGCCTGCGAATTGTGTGAATGCAAGCAGGATAGTGTATGTGGTGAGGTTAGTGAAAGCAAGTGCTGTCCTTAGCTGGCTCTCTCTTAAGTCTAGAAAGTGCTCCAGAGCTAAGCCAGTGCCAAATACTTCAGAAAAATGCTGCTGTAATGAACCCATCTATGCTTTCTCCCAGACTAGAGGCCCTACTTAGTCTGTAATGATTCCCAAGGCAATTTGGGGCATGTTGCCAAGTCTGTAGCTGCAGGCAAACCCAGAATGAAGAGGGTGGAATTAATAGGCCCCGAGTATATTGAAGTTCGCATGGGTCAAAGCTGAATCTTCTGTATGTATTTAGATTTTTTTTCATGCTTTAAATAATTGTGGTAGTCTAGAAAAGTCTTTAAAATGCATATATTCATTAAAAAAAACAAGATTACTAAACCTAATAACTTATGCCTTGTTAACTGAAGTTCCTTAAGCCTAAGAATTTTATGCTTCCTGAAGCACGCAATAAATAAAGTTTTCTACTGGATGGTATTTTTCTTTCTAAACAATTTAGGATTATCTACCTAATTTAAAAAATTAGAGTGTGCTAAGATTAGTTGTCTCTTTTCTCTATAAAGTGTAGTTAAAGCTTTCATCCAAAGTAGAGAGAAACAGAAATGTCTAGTAACACTCAATTCCACTCTGTGCCTTGTAATCTGCAGCTATCCAATTTGTTTGTTACTTTAACAGAGAGTTTAAACTAAATCTAAGTCTTTGATTAATCTTTTCTTTGGCAGTCCTGGCTTGAGCCTGACTTCAAGTAGGACAGAAAAGAGCTTCAGTGAGAATCCTGACTTGCTCCTGATTTTTTTTTTTTATTTTTATTTCTGTCTCATGTACCATAGCATTTATTTTGCATATTTTTCTAATATGTTCAATCAATCATTCTTTTTTGTGGTTGTTACCTCGTTGCTTCACTGGCTGTGCCCTATAGACGTTCCTTGCTGCACGTACCTTTAAAATTATCAGACAAAGGTTACTGAACCTAGTTTGAACTGCAGGTTCAATCAGTGACTATTTGTTTATAAATTAGCTAAAAGTAAGGGTACATGTATTTAAAGAACTGTGTTTCATAAGGAATAAACAGTAGCTTTTCTGGATAGTGTTAATATTTACTGAGTGCATTCCTAACCTATAGTGCAACCCACGTATTTCACCACTCTCTATTAGGGACCTTGTTCAATTTTAAAAATCTCAGGCTGATTCCCTTAAAACACAGAACAGAGAGGTATTTTATTGGACACTGTTACTGAGAGGGAAGGAATCAAACAGTAAAAAATTACAGCTTTTTGTAATATCTGCTGTGGATAGCAGATAAGTCATCCTCATGAGTCTGATATGCAGAGCTTGCATATATTGTTTATAGGACAGAGATTTATGAGAATAAATGAACTGATAAGAAAATATAGCCAGTTAAGGAAATAGTAAGCTTCAGGCAAATACAGCAAAACAGCAAAAAGGAAATCAAGTTTATTTCTTAAGCTACAGGGAAATCTAATGTAATACTTTAATTATTGCTAAAACCGTCAAAGTTGTTTTTATATCAACACTTAGATGTCCAAACTAAAAATTAGAAATACGTAATTTTTCAGCAGATGAGTGCTCAGATTTTTCTGGAAGTCATGCTTGGAATTGTCCTTATGCTGACTCACAGCCACACAGAATCACTAATCCAGGTTTTATTGGCTTTCAGTTTTCAATCTTCAACAGCTTCCTTTTAGCATTCCAAAAATCACTTGGTTATGCAGTCAGTTCAGAAATATATCCATTTCTTAACTCAGTTATCTTTGCCTCTCTTGGGGTTTGATAATGCTTTGCTTTTTCTTTAGTTCTTGGTAAAATGGTAACAGAATGGTCACATTGGTATAGTGACATTCATAGTAGTTTGAATATTTGTACTGTTTGGGCAGAAAACACTGCTGTAGTTTGGCAGACTAATACTGATAAATCACTGTGAGTCTTGCAAATGAACCTGATGAAGACTGCTGTTATTTTAAGTATCAATAGTTTGTGAGCTTCTCAGCAGAACATAATTTTCAAAATGTTGATAATGTGTAATGCTCAATATTGGTGTTTTCCTTTTTTTCAGAGAGATTGTTGATAATACAGGCAAAGAAAATGGTATTGATCTAATAATGAGTGATAGGACCTACCACTTAATTGCTGAATCCCCTGAGGATGCAAGGTATGAAAATCATCAGACCTATCTTCTTCTCCCTTTCTTCTCCTTTTTAACCTCTATGCCATTCTGACTTTGTCTTGTCACTAATTTGTTTGACTACTGTCATAAAATATTCAGTCTGTGTTAAACACATTGCATTTAACACACTTTTTGAAAGGCTTGCTGAGGAGAAAACCTTGTGGCAGACAATTACTGGTAAGACTCAGATTGCCAGTGAAAATTTGCCTAGAATTTGACTGTTACTCATGTGTTACTAGCAAGTTTCTGAAATACAATTTGTATGTAGAGAGGCAGTTGTTAGCCACTGATGCTTTCCTTGTGGATGACCCTGCTGTGTTTAGCTGCATTGATCAAATCAATATTTGAGACCCTGTATCTGCCTGAAATGAAGCATTTTGTTCTTAAGGGTGGGATCTGTTTGTTTAAGCAGAACCTAAATTTTCTTCAGACAGAAGTTGTAATGCCGTCACTGTATTTTAAAGCAAAAGCATATTCATGTAACAGGAGTGTTTAAGAGAGTGCTTCCCCTTCTGCATATTTAAAAAGGGTCTTGCTTTTGTTGCTAAAGGATCCATATCTAACCATGGGGGAGGCAGGTGGGTGAGGAGCAAGTCTGACTTGTCTGATCAGTTGTAGAGCATCTTTAAAAAAAAATCCCCATGCTACAGTTCATGCAAGATAATAATATGCTTGCCTAAAAAAATCAAGCATTTAAATAAAGTCAAGTTAGTAATCAGGGCTTATTACCCATTGCCTTGCTGCCCCAAGGCCAGAATACAGCGTGCCTTTGTCAACATCACTTGAACTACTTTGCTCAGAAGCCTCAAAAGTTCTTTCGTATTCTGTTCTTTGCAAAGTTGGAATGCCTTCCTATACCACAGGACCCTGAGTACAGATGTAGATATAGCAACTCAAAATCCATCCTCATTTTTTTAGGTATCCTTCAAGTTATCCTTGAAATAACTTAGGAGCTTTCTAGCAGTTACTGTTAAGATTCTTGTGGGATGTAAGCACATTTTAAAATGACGGCTTAGCTAAAGTCTCTTCTGCCAGACTTGTGTATGTGCCTTAGGGACCAATAAGCAATTATCAGCACACAGACTTGTCTGTTGCCATGCATCTCCATTTCTTTCTTAAAGATGGAGGAGGAGACACTATACACCCTTGTTGTGTATAGTAAGAATAACAAACCATCCAGATTAAATTACCTTTTAGCAATGTATTTCCTGTTTCTTTTTTCTCACTCATCCCAGAAGACTTAATGAGGAAGATGTGTAAGGATTTGCAGACAGGCTTAAGTCAAAGCCTTGTTAACAAAGCATTGTGAAAAGTGAAGTATGAATCATTGGGCTGTGTTTGGTCCACATCTGCTATTGAAAAAATATTTTGTACCTGAGCTACATCAGGATCTGAGGTTGCTTTTTGTTCAAATTAAGGGAAAAAGCGAGAAAAAACATCTTCTTCCTCCCAGAAGAGGAGTTACTATTATTGAAGAAGTAATTCTTCAGTGGGCAGTCATTGCCTAGGGTTTGTTCCTTTCAAATCCCTAGCCTTTTTCCCTATTTCTGTGTTCTGGGATTCAGCTGAAAAACAAAGGAGGTCGTGAGAGGGGGAAAAAAGCAAAAATAAAGTCTGCCTTTGTTTTTTGCAAAGTGCCATGATTCATTTAATTTTCATTGTTTACACAAAGATTAAATGAAATCAGGAAAACTCTGAATTGTTCTTTAAAATTCATCCATAAATTATCACTAGATATGCCTACAGTACTATGAAGTCTTTTTTTTTTTTTTTGTATTGAAATAAAAGTTCCACTTTAAATACATTTGCAATTCCTGAGCCCAGAAAGGAACGATGAATTTAATTTGTGGGAATCTTTTGGTTGGTGAGGCTTAGCTTTCTTCAGTTTCTTTACTTCAGTTTCAGCCTTACTTCAGTTGGTGGTTCCTCCTCCCTAGATGACAGCTTCTCTCCTTTTTTTGTGGCATTGCCTTACATCCAGCAAAGTGTCAAGTACAACCTCTCTGTGGGTGTCTCTGAGTCTTAAAAAAAGAATCAGAACTAAATATGTTCTCATCTGCTTTATGGTCTGGCACTCTCAATCTTCGTTTTTCTTCATTGCTTGCACTGTTTCTAATAAAAGCTCGAGCCGATAAAAAGAATTTAGGATATGGCAGTGATAGTACTGTTTGACAGCCTACACAGTTTTTCTTAAGCTATTTTAGCAGTTCAGTTTCCAGAAATCTACATTTTGGGGGAACAGTTGGCTTCTGAACGCTGGCGTTAACAAGACAGCTCTTCAGTGTCCTAGGAAATATTCTGTGACTAAAAGCAATTGCAGAAAAGATAATTTCATGTTTAAGTCCAGTAGTTTTGCAGCAGGCTGAGTTTTTCCTCAACCCTGTGGTGATGGAGGAGCCTCTGCAGCAAAGTGAGGAGTCTGTTTTAAAGGCTGGGCTTTTGATCCCTTTGAAAACTTGGCCCCAGGTGGTTTTCATTAGAATGGCAAATTCATATCTCAAAGAATGGCATTCAGGAACCTGTTGAACAGGCCAAGCTCTGTCCTTAGATTTCAGTGGGATTCCTTAGAGCAGTTGAGCTTTATCATATACAAGTGCCAGAAGGATAGAGGTTTACCAGAAGCAGAAGGTGTGGTTGGAATTAAATCCATCTGCAATTGCTGCTCTGGACTAGGGGCTGAAGCACTGGAAACCTTTCTGCCACTTTTCCTGTTGTGGATATGTACAGTGCCACTGGAGTGGTGCAAATTTGCTCATCCTTCCAGCAGCTGGATTTTTCAGTGCTCCATAGAGAACAAAAACTGTAGAGGTATTTGCTTGGGGGTTTTATTCTTTTTTTCCCTCTCATTTGTGCTTCTACAGAGAGCTCAATGGACTTAGGTGGTCTTTGCAGAAGTATCACTGTAAGAAATTACTACCAGTCACGCTATCAGTGCAGCACAATTTATAATCTGAAGGTTGGGATTCCCATTAAAGGCTTTGTGTGTAGCTAGCAATGTATTTTATTCCAGATGAAACGCGGAATGTGTTACAAAGACCCTCCAAGCACTCAGATGTTTCAGTGTGCTTACAGCAGATTTTCAGAGATGCCACTTAGTGTACAAGGTACTTTTTGTCAGGAAGAAGGGTATGACACAAGCTTGGATGGGAGATCTGGAGTGGCTTGCTTGCACCCAGTGTTACTTGAACTGACATAAAGCCTTGCTGCTTTTATGCCTGTTGACAAAAGGAATCTTAAGCAATTTCAAAAACCTGCAGAACCTGCTACATCTCTGCAGAACAAAGGTGACAGAAGGCTTGTGCAGAGCCAAAATTTTACTTACACTGCTGCCTTTCTCTCCCCAGCCAGTGGTTCAGTGTACTGAGTCAAGTCCATGCGTCCACAGAGCAGGAGATCCGGGAGATGCATGATGAGCAGGCAAATCCACAGAATGCTGTGGTAAGTCTAAATCTGAAGAACTTTTCAAACCACATATTTTTAGAAAACAGGGCCACTGTGGTGGCCACAGCCTCTGAGAGTCACAACCTACTTTGTTTAAATGTGGTGGTAGCTGTGACACTGGCTAGAGCTCCCACATCCTTGGTCCTGTAGCTGTACAAGGTGAGAGTGTGGCTTCTGATTCCTCTCCTATCATTCACCTTGATGTAAAATGACTGTTGGTTTTGGGGGTGGTTTTTCTGGTCCACTTCCCTATCACATCACAGGGTATGCTCGATTTTGAAATTTTGCCAAGATAGTGTTAATGGGTAAATTAAAAAACCAAGAGTTAAAAATTCGAGATTTCTCTGATCCTTCATTTTTCATTCTGTACAACATACATTGGTAATTGATGGAATACATCTGGAACCTAATATCAAGCAAAGGAAAACAAAAACTTCTGCTTAATGGCTTTAGAAGTTTGAGAGGATGCCATTTCTATTCTATCGGGATGGCAGTTTTCAGTGAAAAATTCAAGCATGTTTGGAACCATAGAAAAGAGCAGGTTTTGAGCTGACTCCATCCTAACTACAAATAATCTTTTACTGGATCTACTCAACCAAGTCTCTTCATTTTCCCCTCAGCAGTTTTAATGGTTAAGAGAAACTGATGCCCAAACCTGCAGTTCATTTTGCTTGATCAAAGCTGTTGCTTCTTTCTCCTGTCTGTCAGAAGAGTACTGTGAGTTTTGTAATAATGAATGTCTTCCTTATTTTCTGGTTGGATATTTGTTTATAGGGTACACTCGACGTAGGACTAATTGATTCTGTCTGTGCTGCTGACAATCCAGATAGGTAAGTCAGAACCATGCCTGGTGACTTTCTTTTTCTTCTCGCCAAAATCAGATACTTTACGCTTTAGTCTCTATATTCTGGCCAACCATGTATTAAAATGATTCATTATTGCCTCCCTTTTCATAGCACTAAACTCCACATGTTAAAACATGGAGTAGGAATGATGGTGCATTTTGGGAGGGGCTTCAATAATTTCCATGACACTGCTTCATACCTGAAGTCTTCAGCTCCTAAAGTGATCCAAAACTGGAAGATTACATATTTCTGTCATTTATACAAGTAATACTCCTGAAAAAAAAAAAAAACAACTCTATTTTGAGTTCCTTAGTAATGCAGTAGGCAGAAAATTTAATTTTAATGGTTTTTTTCTGTTCAGCTTCTCCTTCATGAATGTTGTATTCTTCAGGGATGAAAACTATTTCCCCAGAACAAAAATGTCTTATAACAAATAAGTCAGTGCAGCATAAAAAAAACAACAAAAATGTCAGGTTATTCTTAGTTCTTGAACTACTAATGGTGTTAAGGGAAATAAAAAGTAGTCTGGGTTCAGACTATGACTGGCTTATAAGGTTACTGGATGTGAAGTGTTATTTGAACTGCAGGAGCTCACTCCAGTTTCTCCTCATTGTGTACATGTGTAAAACAGCTGGTTTTAAGTTAGTGCTTTGTCCTTGGTCTGCCAAAACACTGATACCAGAAGTAACAGTGAATTTACAAGCCCATTCCTAAACCATACAACACAAATGTCCAGAGCTTTCACAATTTTAAATTAGCATTTCTCCAGCACTATGTTAATGCAATAAGTTAAGCATTTCTCTTGTAAGCATTTTTCACATGGATTTTTTAGTTTGTGGGAGGATTTTATGTTACATTTTGGGGGTTTGCTCCAGATGAAAAAATTAATGGTAAAGGGTTAAAGCAAGCATTGTAGGCCGAGAACCTGCCTCTCTGATCCAGAGAGCCATCAGCACACTTCTCTTGGGCTAGTTCTTCATGCTTCAGTGAATCCTGGTGTAGGACTGGGTAAAAGCCAGACTCATTAAAAATAGATTGTATTCTCTGTAAATTGGGTTGCACTGCATTAAAATAAAAGAATAGATGTTCACATGCTGCTTTACTATAGACCTTTGTATACTGTAGTTTGTTTTAGCTAATGTAGCTACTGAAGCAGACACTCTAAATAGATCTGACCCTGAAACAGTTCTGATTCACGTGCAAAGCTGATTAAAGTCTGGAAGTTTTTCTCACCACAGATTTTGAGATATGGCAAGTTGTAATTTAATGTGAACTTTCCCACCATTCATAACCCTTGCATTTGGATGTGAATGTAACATAACTGAGTCTTTTCAAATGCTTAATATTTTTCTTTAGCTGATAACTAAATAATGCATTAGAGGTGGACAGTATTTTTATGGATAGAAAATGCAAAAGATGAACAGTTTTTATGGTTATGGGGGGTGAGGTAAACAGTATGTATGCTGATTATAAAAGCTGTTTCAATTCTCATTTATTTTCATAGACCCAATTCATTTGTGATCATCACTGCTAATCGTGTTCTTCACTGTAATGCTGACACTCCTGAAGAGATGCATCACTGGATAACCCTGCTCCAGAGGTCAAAGGGGGACACTAGAGTGGAAGGACAAGAATTCATTGTGAGGGGTAAGAACTGAGTGAGGCAGTAAATAACATCTGTTATGCTTTGAAGAGATTGTCCCCACAATACAATGTGGGTAATATGCCAACATGATTAGCGTTGCAGCCTCCTCTTCGTGCAGTGGACTTTACTCACAAATTAATGCAGCTGAAATTATATTCTTGCTGTGCCATGTAAGAAAACACTGTAATGGTGACAAAGGTGTTTTTGTAAGTTGACAAGATAATTCTTCCAGTGAAACATCAAAATGGAAAGGTTTTCATATTAATTTTATCTTTATTATTTCATTGTTTGAGAATTTAACTCGATGTTGTTTCATATGTGAGCTTATCAATTCACACAGTGTTTTTGTTGTTGAACGTATACAACTTACTTTTATCAACCTACTTTTGTCCAGCTCTGTTCAAGAAAAAGAAGTGTGATTCAAATTGTGTCCTAAACAGGGTGGCTACACAAGGAAGTAAAGAACAACCCAAAGATGTCCTCGTTAAAACTAAAGAAGCGTTGGTTTGTTTTGACGCACAATTCTTTGGACTACTACAAGAGTTCAGAGAAAAATGCCTTGAAATTGGGTACACTGGTCCTGAACAGCCTCTGCTCAGTGGTCCCACCTGATGAAAAAATCTTCAAAGAGACAGGTAATTGTTTGCTCTTGTTCAGGTATGCTTTCTGTCCTTCTACCTAGTAATGCAAGATACAGTGCATAAGAATATTTTAAATGCATTATTATGGGTGCAGTTCCATGAACAAATCCCATTCCCATGTCACTGATGTGTTCTACAGGGAATTACTGGGTGAAAAACAAAGGTAATATATAGAGGAGTAAAATTTGTTCTCACCAACATTCAAATTATCACAGACTGGCACTGCAGCCGAGTTAGTCTGAACACTTATGCTTACACATCAAAGACCTGGGGAAAAGACATGGGCAGCACTCTTCTCATACATTATTTTATGTGCTGAGGAACTATGAGGGCCAGCATTGGAGCAGGTATAAGGAGATGCAGAGTAAGAGTCCAGTTTGTGGTAACCTACATCCTACACCTGAGTCAGCTCCACTGTGCACTTTCAGAACTGGTTTTCAGCTTGGAAGCGTCTGTTTGCAAATGAGAAGCGACTGTTGACAGTCCTGTATCATCTCATTGGGGTCACTGACACTTCAAAGAGGCTTTCACTAGTGAAAGATGAAACACATTTCCTTCTACTGAATCTGTTTGATAAAAAGCCTTTACAGTGATGCAGAGAGAGAATTTGAACTGAAATGCTCTTCCAGTCATAGTTTCCACTTCATTGGTGTAAAATTATAGGCAGAGGAAGTAGTTTGTGCTTTATGCCTGTTTGTATGTGTGCCACAGACTCTGAAAGACTCTTGTGTACAAACCAAGTCTGTCTCAGATTTTCCTGTTACAGACAGGACTGGAGAAGTAGGGCCCATAGGCTACAAGGACCTAAGAATATTCCACAGTATTAACAGCGTTGTGTTACTAAGATTACTGGGTAAAACAGGGAGCTGCATGATGCATTGTTGTAGTCTGAGGCTACTCCTAGGCTTCTTTAAAGGAGAAAATCTCCTTTAATACCGCAGTATCTGTATTATGATACTTAATAATTTGCACGCTTTTAGTTCCTGATAGACTGCCAGCATTATCTGGGATGCAGCACTAGGTGTCTGCTGTGCTGCAGCTTGTATGATGAGCAATTTTGCTGTTGTGCCAGGTTACTGGAATGTGACCGTGTACGGACGCAAACACTGCTACCGTCTCCATACGAAATTGCTTAATGAGGCAACCCGCTGGTCAAGTGCCATCCAGAACGTGATTGACACAAAGGCACCCATTGATACTCCAACTCAGCAGCTTATTCAGGATATTAAGGTAGGCACAAGCAGGATGGCATGGGGTGAGAAACAATGGTTCCTTAAATCTTTGTTTTGGCTTTGCCATATTGGGTAATAAAGCAGAAAATTACGTTTTAATTACACAGTGACATGGACTAAAATTGTAAAACCTGAATGTCTTCTCTGACCTGATAAAGGAATTTCTGTCTAAACAGTAGAAGAGCAAACTTTGAAGTGCAGCTTGGAGGGCAAGAGGGATAACTTTTTTCCATTAAAATAGTAACAAGTTTTACTGGTTTGTGTAACTTGACAGGCTACACCTGGCAGTAGAGCACATTGCTCAGGTTCATGAGTTAGCAGATGTGTTTGGCTCTATCCACAGTGAGCAGCGCACCATGATGTGGACCAAACAGCTCGGGGCCAAAACGGTTTTTTTTTTTTTTTTTTTTTTTTTTTTTTTTTTTTTTTTGTCATTATGGTCCTTTTCTTTTATTATGGTAGCATGGGCTTAGCATCTCATATCTCTGTGTGATGAGAAAAACATTTAATTAATGCTTAGTGTTTTACAGTTGTCTCACTGGAGACAGTGCATGCACAGCCACAGAATGTCCTTTTGGAGCTTTTTGCTAATGTGCATTTATGAGAGGATGAGGATTCTCACAAGAGACCAAAGAAATAGGCAAGAGGGGAGAACTACTACTGATCTTTTCCCTTAGAGAGTGACACCTCTTCTCTCATGGAACAGAGGTATTAAGTTCTCAGTTCCAAGATTATGAATGCTATTCTTCAGAACAGAAGAAATACATGGAATTCAGGACTGATAGAAGACAGTGGTCACACATCTGTCAAACCTGGCCTAAGAAGAACAGTAAGAGTAGTATTTGGATGTGTAGAGTGGGTGCACCAGGTTTACAGCTGCACTTTTGACTATTTTGTTTGGTAGTTGTGCAGTTTCTAACTGAAAGGCCAATTAGTTATGCTGGAGAAATATTTTTAAATAAAACTTTAATACAGGTATGGTATTTCCCATTATAAATTACTGGACTAAAAATGAGTATAAAATGAAAACACACTTCAGAAATTGTTATGATACTTCATTTTGGTGTCCTGCAGCTCTGCTGTAGTTTGGTTTTCTTACTGCACAGATAAAGCAAGCCTATCTAAGGCCTGAGGTTGGCAGGTACTGAGCATTCATAGCCCACAGCATGCCTTGGCAGCCACAGCACCCACAACTGGATTTCACACCAAATAGTGTTGGCAACACTGATTGCTCAGTTTTTTGCAACCAACCTAAGGGCACAAAGCCTTGTATTATTCTTAAAGCTGGATCCCAAAACCTCTTTTTTTTCTTACCCCAATAGGAAAACTGCCTGAATGCTGATGTGGTTGAACAGATTTATAAGAGGAATCCCATTCTCCGTTACACTCATCATCCATTGCACTCACCATTACTGCCACTGCCATATGGGGACATCAATCTAAACTGTAAGTATTCCAATAATAGAACCACTTTTCCTTGTGAAAGACTAAACCAGAGGGTGGACTTTTTAAGTCTACAGTGAAGTAATGGTGGCAAAATACATGTTTATAATACAAATAGACAGGTTTCCCTGTTCTCTTTTGAAAATAGGAGTTTGATAGCATAGAGCCATGGGCTTGTGGTGTTCCTTCAAGAGTGTAGCAGAAGGGAATGTTTCTATTGCTGTCAGCAATACAGCTAAGAAGACTGAGTTTGAAAAGTCTTGCACTGAAACAAGCCTGATTCACTCAGTCCCTTTGAATCACATTCTCCTCCTTAAATTATTGTTGCTTCCTACCCCCTGCAGGAAGCTGCAGCCGCCACAGCTTCCAATTAACTTGTGTACATTTTATAAGATGGGTAGGAAAGGCTTTTATGGGAAATAACATTTAGGAGTGTACATGGTTTTAAAAAGTAATGCTTTGTTTAGTCCTGAAATGAGTGCAATCATCTCTTTTAATATTTTTGATTCAAACGCTAATTTAGAAGTCTCTTTTGAAGAGCTATTGATGACTGTGAACCTGGTGTCCTTGAAAAGGATTTGGTTATCTTAGTTTGCAACTGCATATTAAACAAGATATTACTCAGACCACAAAGTTTCATCCTTGGGAGGAGGCTGGGAGGTTAATATGGAGTGTGATATGGCACTTCAGCAGTGTGACTCCCTCTGAGAGAAAAACTCTCCATCACAAAAAAAACCCAATCAAGATACACCATTTCAGTTATTAAATTTGGAACAAATCTCAATAGCAAATAAGCTCATAAAATGAGTTTGCATCATACATTTGAAATGGAAAATACAGATTCTAATATCGTGCATAACAAGGTCACAGAGTAGCATTAAGTGATTTCCACATTAAGACTGGGTCTTTTTTCTTTCATATCTCATCTAAGCACATTTCTCCCAATATTTCTTTTGTAGTGCTGAAAGACAAAGGCTACACAACTCTGCAGGATGAAGCCATCAAGATATTTAATTCTTTACAGCAGCTGGAGTCTATGTCTGATCCCATCCCTATAATCCAAGGTATCCTGCAAACAGGACATGATTTACGACCTCTCCGAGATGAGCTCTACTGTCAGCTCATCAAGCAAACCAATAAAGTGCCTAACCCTGGGAGCGTGGGGAACCTCTATAGTTGGCAAATACTCACCTGCATGAGTTGCACATTTCTGCCCAGTCGCAGCATCCTCAAATATCTCAAGTTTCATCTCAAAAGGTGAGAACCTTTGATCTACTAAAGCACCATGACTTTTAACAGTGTTTAGATATCTAGAAGTGAGACTTGAAGATGTATTCACTTAGCATTCACTTTTGGCTATGCCAAACAGAGAATCTAAAAACAAAATGTTATAGGAAAAGTGTGTGTGAGTTGGTCTGGATGGAATTACACACATTTGAAGAATCAAGCAAAATGCTACAAAGTTGAATGCACAATTTGTTAATGTTGGCAAAAGGGGTGCTTCCTGTAACTGTATAAACTTAAATGACTTCCAGCCCATACCCCCAAGTCCCATTCTCACCTGTCCAAACCAACCTGTTAAAAATTCTTCATCCCACTTACCTTAATTTTATGAGATATGCATCATGCATATAAAAGAGCAGTATCATATTTAAAGATGTATTTGAGGTACAAACCTGTGATTGCAAATCTGATTTTAAAATATTAGTGAACATTAGATAATAATAAACCATTGTTGTCAGTTCAGCATTAACTAGAATGTGGAGTTCCTTTTGCTGTGGTGCAATGGAAGAATGCAGAGCGTGTCGTTAGGAAAGTCAGTCCACCAACAAACTCAGTAATTTAAAAGGTTTGTTTGTACTTGGAGCATGTCAATTAAACAGTGTACTGGATACAGAAATAATCTCAGGGGGAAAAATTCTCAAATAAGCAAACTTCACAGACTTGCAGCTTAAAGTAATAAGCTTTGTCTCACAGGGTTCGTGACCAGTTTCCAGGAACCGAAATGGAGAAATACGCACTTTTCACTTACGAATCTCTGAAGAAAACCAAATGCAGAGAGTTCGTGCCATCGCGAGATGAAATAGAAGCACTGATTGGCAGGCAGGAGATGACATCCACAGTTTATTGCCATGGTGGGGGCTCCTGTAAGATTACAATCAACTCACACACTACAGCTGGAGAGGTGAGGAGTGGTGACAGAATGTCTTTGTAACAAAATCAGCGTGTCCCTTCACATGCCAGTCCCAGGCAGCAGTAGTGTTGCACTTTGGAAGCACTGGGGCTTTCTCTGCCAGTCTCTCCTTTCTGGGAAGGAAAGGCTTACAGTGCTGTACCTCCAGGACAGTTGTCCCTCCCCACAGTTTGTTCTGGAGAAATCCCTTCTATAAAAACTTTGTGCTGCAGAGGCTTACCCAGCTGTTGTTCCTTCTTACAGGAAAAATTACAGGAAACACTAAGCAACTAGCAGAGAGCTTTATTGGAGAAACTTTGGTAGACATTGGTGTGTATGAGAGCCAAGCTGCTTCCTAAAACTGGAAGACTCTTGCTGAGTTGGTGAAATACATGGGGTTATGTCTGTCCAGGAGATAGCACATACATATTCTGAAATAATAACAACTACAGTGGAATTTGACAACAATTAATAATGCTGATGAAGACAAGTTAATAACATTTTCAGCCTAATGTAAAACCTAGCTCTAATTTTTTTCGAAGTGTCTGTCTTACTCTGTGGTACTGTTTTTCCATGCTATGTTTTTTTCATGTGCTGTTTCTCCATTAGGTGGTTGAAAAGTTAATTCGTGGCTTGGCCATGGAGGATAGCAGAAATATGTTTGCTTTGTTTGAATACAACGGAACTACTGATAAAGCAATTGAAAGCAGAACCATTGTAGCTGATGTCTTGGCAAAGTTTGAAAAGTGAGTGTGCCTCTCCTTCTCTCTTCACTCTAATAAGTAGCAATTAAATAAATTTTCAATGTCATTTTCTCTTTGACTTGCTTGTTTGTGATGATGCAGCTGAATTACACACGTGGCCATTTCTGGAACAAAAGGATCTCTTTTTTTAGTTTCCTTGAAAGATTTAATAGCCTCTTGTGGTGGTTTTCCTCTGTCCTGACACCTGTAGAGTGATATTTCTCATCACTATTCCCACATCTTCTTCTCCACTACTATAAATTTTTCCACCATTACTGGCAATGTGACTGTGAGAACTGAGCTCCAGACAGTCACTGCCATTCTGACTGTTAGCTAGCTTCACATGGAAGTCACCACAGTACAGCTCACAACATTTCTCTTACCAATAAAATTGAAACCACCTATAGCACTGTAGTAAGAAAATTAAATACAAGCCTAAATACCTGTTTGTCATCCTTACTTTTTATGCATGGCAATCGGCCCCCATTATCCACATAAAAATGGGGAAAAAAGGAGTGTTTTAAGTGTTATGTAGTTTTATACAGGACTTAATAATGTCACTTTTATTAACACCAGACTTATCTAAAAATCAACATTTATTAAGAGAATATGGGTTAGAAACCTTTGACTTGAGAACTGAGCCACATTTGTCCTTGATTTTGCTGTAGGCTGTAAAAACAAAGATACACATAAAGCAAAGTTCAGCTGATGCCTTGCTTAGATTCTGCAGGTGGCAATTTAGAAAAGATTTCGCAGATCTGATCTCTCTCCTTCCTAACAAAATGTTGCAGGCTTGCTGCCACTGCTGAAGCTGGGGAGATGCACTGGAAGTTCTACTTCAAGCTCTACTGCTTCCTGGACACAGAAAATGTCCCAAAAGATAGCGTGGAATTTGCCTTTATGTTTGAGCAGGTAAAGAACAAAGATTCTGTTTTGAGGCACTATAAAGAGGAGGGGAGAAAGGGTTCTAGGCAGCCAAGAGAGTGATATTATTTTGCTTCTGTTCAACTGAATGCATTACTACTCAAGCATCAAGAGCAAAGGAAGCAGTTCAGTAGTCAAAATAGGCCTATCCTGACATAAGTGAAGCACGTATGATTTTTCTAGTGTTATGTTTCTTACTTCTGCATTACTTGTCAGTTGCTTTCTGTGTAGTGGTAGAAAAATGAATAACTGGATCTAAGCTGCATGAAAAAAAGAATAATACTTGTTTTTAATTTTCCTCTTCTTAAACTATTTTCTGAAGAAATTATAAGAAATAAAGTGAAAAAAAGTGTGACTGGCAACAACTTAATTAATAAGAGATTCCTACTGACAACTGTACAGAACTAATTGAGCAATAGCCTTTTATCTTGTCAAAACCGGATCATTTCATAGGTACCATAGTGTAATAATCAAGTCTCAGCAGTAAGACAGTTATGATGAACAGAAATCCACTTAGTGAACATGCTGAGCCCAGAATGAGGCTACACTGCAAAACATAAAATAAGTTAAATTGATTTCTAATGAAAATTAAATGCATCAGCAGCTGTTTTTTTATTATATCAATCCCTGTAGTTACTCAGAAACTCACTGATGGCTTTTTTTATTGTTAATTGATCTTCTCCCATTCTGCTATATTGCAAATTATTAAAAATTCTTCCAGTAGTCAGCTTCTTTCAGTGGACACTAGACACAGATAAAGATTTCTGTATAGGGTTAAGATTTCTGGCTCTTTGCAACACCAAGACAATGACATTCTGTTGGTGAGCAAGCCTGACGTGATCAAGAACTGATGTACCTCAATTTTCATATATATGAAGGGTTTTCCCCTTCTACATCTTCCCTGTAATAGAGTATTTCTTCCTTGTTCAGTTTAAGTTTTAAGACTTAATATTACATAGATATTACATATGTCTGCTACATATTATTATGTAGACATATTACACCACAAGACTACCAGAAGTCTCCTTCCACAGCCTGCTACTGTAGCTCAGTCCAGAACTGTTCCTTGTTGGCTGAAGGATGTGGGCCATAGGTTGCCCTGGCTGGGCTTAGAAACACAGCCATTCTGTCTGTCTGTTGTTACCTCTAGAGAAGTCATCCAGTGCCTCTGTTTGGGATGAAGTTCAAACAGCAAGAAGAAAATCTCTGAGTTACATTATTGGCTTAAGAGGCAGATTCAGGCAGTGCTCTGTATGAACAGCTAAAAAAAGCACACTTGCTGAAGCAGATTGTTTTCATGTGGCATTCTGTGCTGACTAGTGTTTAGCCAAATACTTTATGTCGTGCCAAAATCAGTACTATTTGTTATAAAGCATGACATTCAATCCCTACCAGCAATATTACAGCAGTACCTTGAAGAGGTAACATTACAATCTAACATCAATTCTGTTCTATTTTTTCTAATTATCTGCTTTTGATGTCAGTCATCAACTCTTTTCAGACAATTACGAAAATTCCCTTTTGTCATCAGTTTTAACTCTGCAGTCTCCATTATTTTAAAGTCTGAATCCTTTAATGATCATAAGGAGCTGAAGAAAATCTTTTAGTTCTTCCTCATTAAAATACTGTCCTTCCATTTCTAAAAGACAGCTCTTTCTTCTGCATGTGTACAATCTCAGGTAAACCATTTTGCCTGTTTAAAGGCACATTTTGTACAAACCTAAACAAACTAGTTGTTACTTAGCTGTGAATTAGCTGTTACTTAGCTGTGTGTTTACTAAGCTCGCAATTCCTGGATCACCAGACACGATAGGTGTTTGTTTCCTCTACTACTGTCATATGAAAGAAAACACCTAGCTGCTGCACATTTTCACAAATTTGAATGGGTGTGCAGAGAGCTGGAATTTTAAAAGAGTCTTCTTGGGTCAGAATCTCATCCCTACAGAGCACTGTAGTATGTAGATGTTGTATTAACTTGATTTGGGATCCATTGAAAACGTATTGTTTCCCCTCAGTAAAATTACAAAGCTGTTCTAGAGCTTGGCTTGTTTGGTGGGAAACATCAGTTTTCACAGACAGATTATTGATAGCAGTAAACAAAATGGAAGACCTGTTTCTTCCTAATGCCCTTGCACATAGATGGCTTCTCCACAATCAGATGTTTAGATCCTGTTTTCTCCCCTTTACATTTTATTTTCCTTTTTCATGGTTCAGTTATTCTGACATACGGGAGTTCACTAAAAGCTGTCCTAGTAAAAGTAATTCCCATTTAGTTCCTCAGTAGGCTTGTAGTTCTTCTGGTAAACTCAGTCTTGTCCAGCTTAAATTTGCCAAGAGATTTACCCCATTTGACTTATTTAATGGATCATTTATTTCAGGTCCTGGCTTGGCCTGGGAGTAAATCTACTCCCCTTGTTTCTCGTATTTCTTTCAAAGGCTGATTTATAAAAAGCTACCTTTTTTTTTCCCCTTGATAGGCTCATGAAGCAGTGATTAAAGGACATTATCCTGCTCCTGAGGAAACCCTCCAGGTCCTTGCAGCTTTGCGTCTTCAGTACCTTCAGGGAGATTACACTGTGCACACCACTGTACCAGAACTGGAGGAAGTCTATCCCTTGCAAAAGCTGAAGTCCAGGATTACACAGTCGACCAAAACATTTACTGCATCAGAGAAGGCCGAGAAGAAACGAGCCAGCTTTCTTGAAGGAACACTGCGGAGGAGTTTCCGAAGTGGCTCTGTCAGCAAACAGAAGGTTGAGGAGGATCAGATGTTAGACATGTGGGTCAAAGAGGAAATCTCAGCTTCCAGGACTAGTATTATTGACAAATGGAAAAAACTCCAGAGGATGAATCAGGAGCAGGCCATGGCAAAGTACATGGCTTTGATTAAGGAATGGCCTGGCTATGGTTCAACACTCTTTGACGTAGAGGTAAGACCATATGGACATTCAAACTACAGCCTACACTGTATAGGTGCTGATTTCATTCCATAAATACAGTACCACAATGCTCAGACAGCTGATGTAATAAACTTTGAGCTATTAAAAGCCTACTCCCATTAGCAAACACTGTAGCTATTTAAATCCACCAGTTAACCATAAAAATAGAGGGACAGAATGCTATTCTGACAGGTTGCAAACAAGTATAAGTATAAAAGGCTACATTTAAAGAGGGACAAGCAATATGCACTTTTTAACAAATGGTTACAGACAAAAGCATCAACAGTAAGTGTTGTGTGGCCCCCACTGTTCCCCTTGCTGTTAATTTACTTTTTTTTTTCTAGTGTAAAGAAGGGGGATTCCCACAGGAGTTGTGGCTTGGAGTCAGCGCTGATGCAGTTTCTGTCTACAAGCGTGGGGAAGGAAGGCCTCTGGAGGTGTTCCAGTATGAACATATCTTGTCATTTGGTGCTCCGCTTGCCAACACCTACAAGATCGTGGTGGATGAAAGAGAACTGCTTTTTGAAACTAGCGAGGTAAGAGCAAGGTAGTTTTGTTATTGTGGTCTTCCTGTTTTGATAGCCAGGCCACTTAGTAATTCAAGTAATGGCTGCAAATGTTAGAGATTTGTTCAAGATCCCTGTAAAGCTAAAGGGAAGACAATCACGTGGAGAGAAGTGCTGAGTATTTTTATTTGTTTAGCTGCAAAAGGATTTTGTTGAAAGCTTGACAGTTTTATATTGTTAGTGTCCAAAGAAATTAATTCATATACTGTTACCTCACTGTGCTCTTCATACTCTTGGCAGGTGGTTGACATTGCAAAGCTGATGAAAGCTTACATCAGTATGATCGTGAAAAAACGCTACAGCACCTCTCGATCCGTGAGTAGTCATGGAAGTCAGGGCAGCTCCAGGTGAAAACAAAACCAGTTCTACTGCCCCCTAAATAGAATACATCACTCCTTGGCCTCAGAACGATCTGGGGACATCAATCACCTTCGTTGACAAGCTAACCAAGAATCGGAGTTTCAACGGAAAATACCTTCAAACAATGTTTTAGAAAGACCACAGGGAGGCAGGGGAAAATCACCTGGAATAGTCACATACCTAGAACTGCTGGCTCATTCAAAACTTTCCAAAGCATTATTACCTTCCGTTGATGTAACAAATGCCTTAAGACTCGATCCACTGCAATACAAAGCAGTAATAAGTGCCTTACCATATAAGCCTAACTTGTATTGATCTAAAATTGCTGATAAAAGTCAAGAGGATTTCCTTTGTCCTTTCAGAACACTGAAAACAGAGTTATATTCATCCATTCTGCACTAATCTACTGGCCTGCATACAGGTGGGAAGGGGGAGGGAAGAAGAGCAAGGTATATTTTTTTGGAGCGCTGCTGGCAGCTTTCCTGATGGACACCAACACTTTGTTTGCCCTTGCTTCCATGGATGTGCACATCGTGCATGTGTGCTTGAGCTGTCAGTAAAATTTGACAAATTTTATTCTGTATTTCACAAGTCTTTTGAAGCAAAGGGAATAAGTATGTGCAATGGTGTAAACAGTCTTTCTGTACATTTTAATAGTTCAGAGTTATAGTTGTTACAATTGTATGGTTACTTTATAAGCAGTTTTATTAACAAGTAAATTCCAAAATTTTCATACACTGATTTTACTTTTTCAAATATGTATTACCATATAAGTAGCAGAAGTCTGCATTCTGTATCTGCTGTATGATAAAGAGAGATGTAGCTGAGAATATTTATAGACTACCCTAATATGGAAATACAGTTATCAGTTCAATTCTCCATAATGTCAGCTTAAGTTTTTAATATTAATTTTTTCTTTGAAAGACATCATGTTTTATACTTCTGGCTGGACTCCTCAACCCAGATTGACTGCCAAAGGCCAGAGCCCTTCAGAGTTGACTAGAGAAGGCAACGTTATACAATGCAACTGCTTTAATATTTTACCTGGTTGCCTGATGAAGGTTTTTGAGAGTATCCTGTAAATAAATTGGGGAATATCAGCTAATAATAATTTGATTTTGGACCTTTATTTTTGTACAGAAATACTGTAATATAAGGCAAAACTTTGTTCAAAGGTATCTTTTTGTCCACAGATTAAAAAAAAAAAAAAGAAAAAAAGAGACCTGAAAAACCTTACTGTTGTTAAAAACCTCAGCCATTAAGGAATCATGCCTACTTACTGGGAAAAAAAAAGTCCAGCAATAAAGAAAATACATGTAATGTGCTCTGTTTCTATTTCCTACTGAGTCAGACTTGCAACAAAACTTTAATTTCCTGTCTTCTCAGGAGGCAAACCTACTGCACAGGCTACGCACGTATGTGTGTGTGTATGTGTGTGTGTCTGTGTGTCTGTGTGTGTGTTTTGCTTGGAAAACTGCATGTGCTGTGTGTTGTTCTGGGGCAGGTGTCCTTGTCCATGCAATGTGTCTTTACATGACACAGAGGGAAGGGCTGCTGAGCAGTTCCATGCCACAGTGAATGTGCAAGTGAAGCTTTTGCTATTTATGTAGCCCTGATGAAAGATGGCTTGTCTTTATTAGCCAGCCACACCATGGCAGGGCAGCATGCAATGCCCTCGTGGTGTACATAGCCTTTGTAGACTACAAGACTTGCCCTGAGAAATCCTCCACCCTCCTCCCACTGCCAGATACTTCTAGTCACCCCATTTGTGACACACCCCACCTCAGTCCCTAAAGGCTTACAAAGTCACACTACTGATTTCATATCCCCACTCTCCCAGAAAAGATAACTTAAGAATGTAAGAAACTATAACTTCAATATGTATGGTTACACACACACACAAAGTATCTGAGACTGACTTTTTTTTTTTTTTTTTAATTTTTCCCATATGCAAGTTATTTAGAAAGAATTTAGCTGCTCCTTGAAAGGCCTGTGGGTAAACATGCTCAGAGAAGTCCCTGCACATCATCATAATCAGTAATTGGTTAACAGCCCAGGAATACACAAGGTGACAGTCTTGTGCTGGGTCACAGTCTTGAGAAGCAGACACCACTGCCTGATTCATTTGCCTTCTGACTGACTTCTGGATGCTCTCAAGCATTGGGAAGGATGCTTGCTCTTGGTCAGTACACAGAAGTGCCTGTCACTACATTACTGTAATTAAGAGCTTCTCTTCATTCATGCCAAGCCTATCAACCTGCCATGCAAATCTTAGTCCAATAACTCTTACTGAGGCAAAGAGAAAAAATACACAATTGTTGACACTCAACAGAACAAATGCACAGATTATAAAAATAAATACAGCATAATAGATACACCCGTGTTTGGAAGTGGAATACCTGTCCATGTGCTTTGAACTGACCCCAGTTGTGGAACTGATGCTCATTCCCCCTCAGGAAGATGGTGGTTGCCCCAGGTGGTTACACCAGCTCTGTCAAAATCCCTCTGGGAGCACACATTGGGTTTCCACAGCCTTGGACTGCACCTGGTGGAATACAGCCACACCCAGGAGCCCACCAGGCAGGCGCCCTGCAAGAGCTCAAGGCTGGGCAGAAACCATGCAGTCAGGCCTGGCAATAGTGTCAGCTGCAATGGAAATAAAATTGTATAGCTTCATCTCAGTATGCCCTTAAATCATAAAACTGCAGAACGGTTTGGCTTGGAAGGGAGCTTAAAGATCATTTAGTTCCAATCCCCTTGCTGTGGGCAGGGACACCTTCCACTAGAGCAGGTTGCTCAGAGCTCCATCCAGTCTGGCCTTGAACACTTCCAGATATGGGGCATCCACAGCTTCTCTGGGCAGCCTGTGCCAATCCCTTGCCACCCTCACAGTAAAGAATTACTAATATCTAATCTAAACCTGCCCTCTCTCAGTTTGAAGCAATTCCCCCTTGCTCTATCATTACATGCCCTTATAAAAACTCCTGCTCCAGCTCTCCTGTGGTCCCCTTTAGGTACTGGAAGGCTGCTCTAAAGCCTCCCTGGAACCCTTACCAGGTAGAACGACCCCAACTCTTCCAGCCTGTCTTCATAAAAGAGATTTTTCCATCTCTAATGATCTTTGTGGCTCTCCCCTGGACTTAGCTGGCCATGCTTAAATTCCTCCTACATCTTCAGGAGTCTGTCTAGCGCTTTCCCTGTGCTTCATAATACAATACAACCATTTGTCAAGGTGCCAGAATTCTTAATAAACTTAATTACAGGAGCTATGCAGTGGAAATTGCTTTACCCCAGAAGAGTTGCATCAGAAACTGGGTTTCAAGCCCCACATTTCTGAGGCATTACACGGACTCACAGGTCTGCACCAGCTCAAATGCTCAGCACAGGCATGCTACAGCATTGCCAGTCATGCTGGCCCAAGACCATTTTGCAGAAACATGGCCAGAACAGTGTCTGCTTTTTCACTGCTGACAGACTCTTTCTCACAGCACAAGCACTCCACATCATTTATGACTCTGTAAAGTAAATACAAAAGGGTACCAACCACATATGACAGCACTGTCCTGAATAAAATTAATTCTTTGTGGAGCCCAACCCTATAAAATCACTGCATTTCATTCCACAACCTCCCATAAGATCACAACGACACAAGGCCTTTGGTGCCGTTCAAAAACTCCCCATGCCACAACAGCCTTGGGAAGCCAGCAGAAGAGGGCAGCAGTGATCCAAGGAAGTGAAGCATACACCGAGTGGTTCCACCTGCAGTATGAATTTACCTGGTCTCTATTAGGAAGTTGGGGTAGGAGAGGGAACAGGGAAGGAGTCTTCTCATTATTCTTGCTCTCCACCTGTCACAAACAACTGTCTCAGGTCGCTCAAAGAATCAGCTAAAAGGTACCAGCAAAAGCAGGTTTAATATTAAAGTGTGACAAAATTTGTTTAAAGGTTTGCCCTACTGCTTACTAGCTGGTTAAAGCACACAGAGAAAAATTTGACTAAAATCTAAAATCAATCAATCTAAATGTAAAATCTACCAAAAGTAATTTACATGGAGGCTGGGGATGGAAAAAGGGCAAGAATGGGAAAGGATAAGGATAAAAAGGAATGAGGGAGACCCACCTATTGGGTCACAAGGTTCAGAGTGGACCCCTTTGCCAAACTTAGTCCCAGATGTGACCAATGGTTGAGGCCTAAAGGTTTAAACTGCACTTAAACTTAACAGCACTTAATTGATAGCCTAATTCAAACAGTTTAACAAAAGATTCTACAGAATTTACTACAACATGACAATAACTCACAGGCCTAACTTACTTATTAATCTAATATATTTAAGGATCTGAGACCAATATTCATGGTAATTTTTCTATGGCATATTCAGAAAATATATTTTCATACCCACAGACCTAAAGGAGTATGTACCTGTGAAAAATTCCCCTTGAGTTCAGCTCATGTTGGATGCCATTGCGCCTTTTCAAGGGGCAAAGGGTTGAACCTCAAGCAGTGGGGGTATCACCTAAGGTGATACCAGTGGCTCCAAATATAGAAAATTTGAGAGTTCACTGGCCCTGAGAGGCTCCACTCAGAAGGAGGCTGCTGATTACAGCCTGCTGTGGTCTTGGAGAGTTCACAGGATCTCAGTTAGGACTGATGGTTATGGGGTTGCAAGAGTGCTGCCTTAAGTCATAGTAATTTTCCATCCTGGCAGCAATTCAGGTCAGTAACTTCTTTGAAAGTTTGATAACAAAAACATGGTTCCACTTGGGTTGTTATTCAGGCAAGAAAAATAATTTTTATGGGTGTTTGTTAAAAAACAGGATCCCATCAGACAGACCAAGTTCTTGGGAACAATGTTTCTGATGAGTTCAAGAGGAGTTTAGCCCAGGCGTTATTTCCTTTTTCTTTCAAAAAAGTTCGTTTTTCCTTTACTCCCTGACACCCACACACATCTCCTTGGGCAGACAGGAATCACACTACTGATATTTACCATCTGACCAACAATAAGGGGGACATGAACAGGGACAGGGCCGGACTTGCCAGAGGTTTAGGAAAGGGGAGAACTATAGTAACCAATCTAGTAGCAAAAGGAGGCTTAAGAGGGAATACTTCAATTAAGCACAAGCAGACAAAAGGACAACCACTATACAGGACTATGGGGTATCCCTCTGCACCCCACTGGGATATTAAATACCTCTGTTAAATGCCTGTACCCCAACACACAGTGGGGAAAATAAGCAGGAGGAGCGAGAGCTCTGTGTGCAGTCACAAGGCTTTGACCTCACTGCAGTTACAGAGATGTGGTAGGATAGTTCCCACAGTGCAACATTGCCACGAAGGGCTACACGCTGTTTAGGAGAGACAGACCAGGAAGGCACGGTGGTGGAGTTGCCCTCTAGTGAGGCAACACTTGGAATGTATTGAGCTCTGTCTCAGGGTGGATGATGAATCAGGAGCTTATGGGTCAGGATAAAAGCGCAGATGAGTAAGACTGACACTCTGGGTGTTTGCTCCAGGCTGCCTGACTGGGAGGACAAAGCGGGTTAGCTCTTCTACAGGCAATTACAGCAGCCTCAAAGTCACAGGCCATTGTTCATGTGGGGGACTTCAACCACCCTGACTTCTGCTGGAAAGCTACACAGCAAAGCACAAACAGGCCATGGAGGTCCTGGAAAGCACTGATGATGACTTTCTGCCACAGGTAGTGGAGGATCCTGCAAAGAATGGTGTGCTGCTCGATTCATACACAAACAGGGAAAGCTTTGTTGGACATGTGAAGGTTGGGTGCAGCCTCAGCTGTAGTGGCCATGAGATTGTGGAGTTCAGCAACAGGTGAGGAGGAAGAGGGCAGCAAGTAAGATTACAACCATGAACCTCAGAAGAGCTAACTTTAGCCACTTCAGGGATCTTCTTGGAAGAATCCCATAGGAACAGGCCTTGCAGGGAAGTGGGGTCCGAGAGAGCAGGTCAGTATTGCAGCATCACTTCCTCCAGGCTCAAGAACAATACATCCTGATAAGCAAGAAATCAGGCAAAGGGAGCAACACACCTACTGGATGAAAAAAGAACTGCTGTCATTACTGATGCATACATGAGAACTATACACGAGATGGAAGCAGGGTCAGGCCACTTTGAATACAGAGAGGTAGTCAGAGGAAGCAGAAATGAGGCAAGGAAAGTCAAGGCCCATCTGGAATTAAATCTGGCCAAGGATGTCAAGGAAAAGAAGGGCTTTTTCAAATATATCAATAACAAAAGGAAACCAAAGAATGATGTGGGACTGTAACTAATAGAGGGGGTCCCTGCTG